TCTCAGTGACGGTTAAGGATGAAGTAGAAAAAGTATGAAATGCGGACCAGTGGATTCTGATTTAGTGGCGTGTTTTCCATGTAACCTGAAGGTGCTGGGTTCCATCCCTGACGGAGCAGAGCTGTGGTTGTACACTGCTGGCCAGTCCAATACTAAGACGAAATGACTGTTCAGTGCTCCCAGGTTTTCAGTGGTTCTACAATTGATGTTATTCCATGGTAAATACTAACCTGAGATAAATAGATAAATCCCCACAAGCTTCAAAACTGAATTCATTGGAAAGTAGTTCTTCCAGTTCCAGAAGCCTCAATTCAGTGAATCCTTCATCACGGCTTGGAACTTGATATTTGAATGATGAATTCCTCAAAAGTTGTATGTGATGCTTATAGGAAACTGTAGAACAGTTTCTGTATAGTCTTCTCTACGTTAAGTTATACAACGACCAGGTGTTGATCAATTCTCGTCGAGTTTGTAGATACGTTTGTTGTAGGGCAGTGAGATGAGCAGAATAGTGTCAGTTTTACGATGGTCATGAGTATCTAGAAAGAAAAAGAGTAAAAGAAAAACATAGATGGACGACTGCTTACACTTCACAACTAAAGATGAACGAAAAGTCACAACAATTCACAACGAAAAGTCAAACTAATCTGGAAATTGAAACTAGAGAGTGGATTAAAACGAATGAAAGCAAAACTCCGCTCAGGAAATTTGCATACATTTGTTGATTAGGCAATAAGCCACAGCTTGAATATAGTTTAAAGAATTGACTGCATTTCTGTAAACGAAAATTAAAGTAATGAGATAGCGGGATAGGTAACAAGAATGTAAGACCTGATAGGGTATTGATGGTGTTAAAGAAGACATTTGTAAGATGTGATTGAACAGTCTGACTTTGTATGCAGAGTTCAAACTTTAAAATGTGAATCTGTATAGCCTCAAGAGTTCAACTAAGCTTTATTCACACTGTTTTCATACAATTTTCAGGTATTCCGTAGATAACATTGAAGTAAAACTGTAAATTCACTCGGTATCCACAAATGATCGATTATATTATGAAGTTGAACTGCAAGAGGATCTTTCTCCTTTGTAAGATGAAGATGATTTATGTTCTAGGGGTTTCGGAGAAAGAAGGTAGAAAGGGACGTGGTAATTTAAATCTGCCAACTGTGCACTTTTGGAACCCTTATAGTGAACTGAATAAGGAGGAAGGCGTGGACTAGAGTATTCTGACCTAGTGGTTCAGTAGTAGTATGCTAACCGTGGAACCTGAAGGTACTATTTTCGATCCATGATGGGGCGGGGTAATGGCTGTACACTACTAAGTAGTCTCACACTAAGAGGAAACAGCTGTCCATTGATCCCAGGTTTCTAATTCTTCTCATCACAATCGACGCAGACTAATCTATAGACATAATTCTGTGTAGAGGTATAAAGGAATTCTATCTTTTCAGTGTACTAAAGTTTCCCTGAGCGTGTTGGCTCTCTTGTAGTATTTCCTTAAAATCCTTCTTAGATCTTCAGTTATACCTTGGTGGATATACTAAGCTGAAACCAAGATATCAATCTGAATGCTTTGGTGTATGATAAATCGAAAAATCTAGACTTCTATCACCATTCCTTTAAACTAAACAACCTAAAAACGGTAGATTACCACTCACATTTTCACGTGCACATGCCCATTTCATATATGGAGAATGAATATAAGTTGATTGATAATTCCTATAGAATTATTTTCATTAAACTTCATTGAAAGTTTCCGGCAATTGTTATTGATGCGCGGAGTTTGCTTATTCAAATTTTCCTATTTTCATTTTACATACTTATTTCATACAGTCGTGTTCTAATAATCATTAGAAAAATACCTTCTAGAATATCAGAGTTAAAAATTCTTAACATTTTACATCCCCTTCCACTGTAGATACAAAGTAACCTTTATTTGACCAAGTAATATCACCTAATTCAAAGAACCATCAGTGTAATGAGAGTAAATCTGATCTTTTTTGTTCGATTGTTCATACTACTGATTCTATCTCTTTGAAGACTCTAATGATTATGAGGTTATATGAAATGTGTAACCACTAAAAACAAGATAACACTAAATAGACGTTTAATTATAGTTTATGACCATTTTGGGTTAACTCGCCTTGTATGATAACCATTTGAGTTAATCTACAAAGTGGAAAATATAGTTATTTAAAAACGGTAATATGTAATTTAATATAGACGGAAGTTTCCAACTCTTTTTCTGTAGAAACTTACAGTTCGAAATCAAAAGTAATCTGATTGTTTAAAGAATGCCAGAAAAATGTAATATATTTCAAGCTTACCAGAATGTTATAACTTCAAAACTTTATGATTCTAGCACCTAAAATCATTTAATATACAGTTGTATCAGTCTAACCTTCTCTCTAGTCATATTTATACACTTTTGTTGTTCTATAATGGTCATATAATTTTAAGGAGAGTTAAATAACCCTAAAAATCTCGTATCTTATGTGTCTTCATCTGAAAATATTATGGTTTATAAAATGTTTTTTAACACTGAACTGCTTTTGCTACAGATAAACAAATACATAGTGTTTACTTTTGTTTATTGAAACTATATGATAAGGATTTTTAAACTGAATAATGATAATAACCAAAAAAATTAGCGAATTTCGCTTTAATTGATATATTTAAAGGAATGGGTGTAAAATATCAGGTTTTTAAGTGCATAACTTTTAACATCTTTAAAGTTTATAAGAAAATCATGTTTTAATAGTTTCTTTCCTGTTATTATTACACAAGTTAACACGCACATAATTTAAGAAGCTAACTGATAGTACTACTTACTAATAGAACAGTTCACAAGTAGTATACAAGTTAGTATTGTTACTTCCACTATCCCGGTGGGAACAATATCACTCACTGAGAGGTAGATATATCCAGCTGATGAGTCCCAAATAAGACAAATGCCACTATCCGTTGTTATTATATAATTAAACACAGGTGATATTGATGCATCCCCACAGAAGTCCATATGCCAATAGATATGGATTAATTCGGTCTAATCAACGACGGTATAATACAAGCAATAACATTAAAAACCATACCTGTCGCAAAAGAAGTGTCTATTGTAGCTCAGTGGTCTAGTGGATAAAGCTATGGCGTTTGAAGCGGTTGGTCCCGAGTTGAAACCTAGGTAGGAACAATATTCACTGGGAGTTAGGTACATCCAGCTGACGAGTCCCAAGTAGGACAAAGCACGCGTCCTAGGTTTCACTGCTAGCCACTATCCGTCATTAATAGTGTACAAATTCTTTTCAAATTTAGGTCAAGATATAATTTAGTGAAATTAGATTTGAAGCAATATCTCACGGGATATACGAATTACAGAGGGATAATGCACTGACTATCTAATGTTTTGCTATACTGGTTGAATAAGAGAAAATATCGATGTCAGATAGCAATGATCAGTTGCAGTACTCTATTTATGTCGAAAGGCATACTACTAATAAGTTATGGTTGTATTGTGTTCTCTGAGCTGCGTTATTTAGTTGTGGAGCTCAGACAACACAATACAACCAAGACCATCCACCTGAACTACAAATATTCTCCATTACTAATAAGTTATCCTATAGCATAATATAATGCTGAGCTCCAGAGCTCTTTACCTGGACTGTTATTCCTTTTTCTTTGTTATATACCCCTAATTTTGTTTAACTTTGTTACTGCTGTTTTAGCGCTCTCTTTGCGCCGTTGCTAGCCTTTATTTATCCTACTGCGTTTGAAGACTGAGTTCTCATTGGTGGTTATTAACTCTTTTAACTTGTCGATAAATTTAATGTTTGTCAAGGTCGTTTGGAATGTATATATTCAGCATGGCTCTAACCTGTTTGATTGTTTTTGAGACAGTAAAAGGCCTCTATCAACGGCTCGTTTTCTCTTCTTGTCCTCAGATATCGTTGATATTGTTGTTGCGGCGGTTGACCTTTTGATTAGCAATTAGGGTAGATTCTTTCGTGCATTAGATTTATATCACTCGTAGACTGCTAGGTGGCACTAACAGTCGAAGTAGTTCAATCTGTGATTCTGAAGTCATTACATGTCAAATGAAATCAATTACTGAGTACTATCCTATTTCTATGCATAAATCCAGTTAATTCATTTCTGGGAATCATGGTGACACGTCGACAAGTTACTCAGTCGTTTATATATAGATAACCGGGATCGCTAAGATTAAAGACCAGTAAGCATTGAACTTTATGTTTTGTTTTACGTGGTTGGGAGGACAAGTTGTGTTAATAATTGTATCAGTGAATTCTACACACAAGATATGGCGAATATATGCGGGTCAACAGGACACTCACTCCCTAAACACCCCTAAATTCCTCAGCTATCTTCCCTTACCTGCTTAGTGGGGTCGACATCAAGCGCCCTGCTTGAGCTATCCTTCTTAGGCTGACTGTATCTGTCACTCACCACTCTGTTAATAACAAGCCTCTACTCATTGCTGTCAGATGGTGGCAGCCAGGTATTTCAACCCTTACTGGCTGCATGGTTAGCAGACAGCTGGCCAGGTTTAAGAATCAGTCGACGGCTGCTTCCAAAGACTTATTCGCAGCGAGAAGGAGTGGTACAAGTTTCATCGCTTTAAGTTTTCAATAACGGATGCTGGCTTACCAATATTCTTATTATGCTCGGAAACTTATCCAGTAAACAATACTGCATTTTTCTGTGTGGCATTTCAAATCGTCAATGAAATATAGAACTATACTTTCCAAAGTACTAGAGCTTTATTCGTAGGTTTATCTAGTTGGATTTATTGTTTTCATTGAATCTGATGATCGAAACATGGTAATGACAAAGTATTCAATAATGGTGATATTGTAGTGGCTGCTACTGATGAAGATGCATATAAGTCGTCCGAAGAAGTCATAAATAGGAATGAGCTATGACAAATATCAATGGTAGGACTAGATAAAAGAAGAACTTAAATATATTGTGAAAGTGGTATTTCAATGGAAGGTTATAGTATTTTATCAGTAGTATATAAAATTGTCATGATTAACAGGCCTTCTGCGATTCCCCCTTCCCCCGTTTCCTTCAGTTGGTGTTTCTGCTTCTAGACATGATGGACATTCCATAGCATGTAGTGTTAGAGGATGGAGATATGAAGGTCTTCGTCAGGGGTTTTTGAGTTAGTCGCAGAGTTGATGGGTGTCCGCGTTCCTGAGAAGTAGGTAGTGGTGCTTGGCACATTGCTGAGAAGTCGAGAGAAAGTGGCGTATGAGAGCATGGATTGGAAGTAGAGTTGGGAGAGAGTGGTTGAATGACTGGAGGCAAAGTTCGACAGTCCAGTGCATAGGGAGCTGGCAATACAGCAGTTTCGGAGCACGAAACTAGGACTAGACGACGATCAGCTGCTATTGACTGTAAAGTTGACAAATTTGCTTCGCTGGGCACTTCCTACTCTGAATGAGGACTCTCAGGTACAGTTGCTGGCTGCACAGTTCACTGAAAGGGTCACAAATGCCACTGCTCAGTAGCTACGACTAGTAAACTCAACCCAACCCTTAGATATTAGTGAGCTGGAGAAGGTAAACAGACAGCTGATGGGTACAGCAGTAGCTGCGGCAGAGTCACTAAATGTAAATAACTGGAAAGAAAACATAGATAACCTTCAGGATGAAGTGCCTGCACTTCGAATGAATATCAACAGACAGAGTAAATGCTTTGCATACGGAAAACCGGGGCACTGGTGAAGAAACTGTCCCAAGAGACGAAAAAGAATAAGTTCCAACGACATAATATGAGTTCTTTCTTTTATACTGGACTAGATGTCGTAGGAACTGTAGATAGACGTGTTGTTTATACTATAATGCACACAAATGATTGAGCAAATTTTTATCCGTCGCTCGCAATTGCCTATGACTACTTCAGACATCTAAACATGTACTGCTTAAATGTATTCTTATCAGTAGCACCCCTACAATATATTTCAGCAGCTTTGAGGTAACGTCTGCAGATTGTACAGATGAGTAGCAACGGTTAAAAAGCCTTCACACCTGTATTTGAGAACAATCTACTTAGCTTTATCTTAAAGGACTTGAGCTGAAACAGGAAAGTGAGCGGAATAGTTGACAAGACGTGTCTGAATTTGTACTGATGAAACTCTCAGAGCATCTACAATCCAAAATACAAATATGTAGTAGCAAATCAAGATGGCTTATGAAACTACGATGTTATTAATCACCATTGAGTCTCATCAGCGTTGAGTATTGTAACACAACCTTTTATAGTTGACTTGTTAATTAGCTTTGGAATCCAGGACGCAGGACGGATTTACCTTCACTCCAGTATGTGATGTCGTTCCCACTGGACTGGAACGTAGTCTATATCGCTCCAAACATCGACCGATTCAATGTAGTATAACCACAGGAAATTGGAAGTATCAAACAACCGTTGTATAGGAGATGCTTCTCGTGCCTCAGTGGTCTAGTGGATAACGCTTCGGCTTTGAAAGCGATGGATAGTGAGGCGGTGGGATATTCAGCTAATGAGTCTTAAATAAGATGAAAGGCCCGTTGTGGTTACCACCAATAGCCATTAAGTTATCGAGGCCGTAATGAGTATTCAGGGCAGTAACTCAGTCTTCTCATAGTAGCTCATATGCCAAGTGAGGTGAAGAAGTTCGATCCAGCATAACAATGGGAAGTCAAAAGTATCAGATAACAATAACTCCGTAATAAAATTTGAACTAAATTTTTTTGAGGGAGTTGTGGAGATTTGGAAATATTTCAAGTTGTTATTCATCGAACGCGCTGGCCGCGGAACCTGAAGGTCACGGGTTCGATCCCTGCTGGTGGGGTCGTGGGTGCTCACTGCTGAGGAGTCCCATACTGGGACGAAACAGCTGTCCAGTGCTCCCAGGTTTCCTTTGTTCCTCCAACTGATGTCAGTCTTCGATGAATAACAACTTGAAAAATTTGAACTACCAATGGGAATACGATCCATATAGATTTCTACTGGTTTAAACACTAAACTTGTAACTAGGTAGAAAATTAGTTTGTATTGTATGATACAAATGATTCATCATGGTTTAACACATCCAGAGGTATGAATAGTATTTAATTTCATTGTTTTATAAACTACTCTAAAGGTTGCCACATATGTAGGCTGAGTAAACCTTGAGGCGAAAATTCATGTTAAAGGTGAACTTTTTAAGATATATGTGAAATACTTTTATGTACGGAACATTATCAGAATATCAAAGAACTATATGTCATAGAATTTTATATCTTTAAAAATTCTGATTTCTTAAAGATCAGTGGAGATCTGTTGTACTCAGCACAAAGAATAAGATTCGGATTTTCAACACCAATTCAGTTAAGTCAGTGCTTCTGTATGGTTTAGAGACTTGGCGCGTCACGAAAATCACTTCCAACAAACTACAGACATTCATTAACAGCTGCCTACTCTGGCTCGATACTGAATATCTAATCAGATGGCCAGAATAATGAGAATAAGAACAAAGAACTCTGGCATGCTAACGAACCGACGAAGCAAGAACCTATCGCCCAAAAAATATTTAGAAGAAGGTGGAGATGGAATGGATTGGGCATACCCTGAGAAGGCCGACTCGGGACATCACGTACCAGACACTAGAGTGGAACCCAGATAGGAAACGACGAATTGGGCGTCTCAGCTGAAGGTAACATGGAGGAGATCATATGAAGAAGAAATGAGAGTCAGTGGACAGTCATGGAGCGAGGTTCAAAAGATTGCAGAGAACAGAGTGGAATGGCGATGTGTTATTACTGAAGCCCTATGTTCCACTAGAGACCCAAGGGAAAAATAAAAATAATGATAAGAAATTCTGATGACATTAATTAAAAGACATTTGAAAGAAGTTGACGGATTGGTTATGTAATCATCACTGAACTCAATATTTACAGGTATATTCCTGACAAAATTGGGAAATGGTTCTTTAAAACATTAAATTTCCAAAATAGAGTTGTACTGTCGATACATTTTTTTGATAAATGCAGTAATCACAAGAAAAGAAGGTAGTTTCATGAAGAGAAGTATATGTCGAAAGACAATATTTAAGGCATAAGATACGCACTTTCACAGCTTCATACTGATGAAGTACAAAAGTAATATAATCAGGTATCTGGGTGATATTTTAAATGAAAACGGTTATCCGGATAAATTCATCAAAGCCAAGATCAATTACATTTGTCCTAAACAAGAAATGATAACATTGGAGAAGAACCTTTTATTTCTGCGATTACAATTCAAGGGAGACGTTCTAAGTGACATATGATCACAACGACTAGGTGAAGCGATCAATAAAGCATTCTATTCACAGTGTCTTTGGATGTCGTTCACTAGTTAGCTTATGCTCAGTCCAACATTAAAAGATAACATACCTAATCTCATCGTCTCATCTTACATATATCATCTGTTCCTGTTCAAGTTAAATAAAGCGCACAATTAGACAGATATGTTTCTGGATATCAGAACAGTTACCGAATTGATTGAAAAAGGTGAAGTGAGAGTGATGGTGTTATACATTGTGTACCCAAAAACAATACCATATATAGCTCACCAATGCTTCCTCAACAAGCCAGAAGTTGTTGCAATAAGAATGTTCAAACATGAACTTTACAGTCTTTAAATCTCACTACACTCTGAAGATGTACTCACGTCAAACTTTACCTGTTCTTTTACACTGTACAACTATATTTTATAATTATAAAACCTTATGAGGATATTTATTAAGAAGAATATTTTTCTTCCAGAGTATCTTTTTTTAATGATTTTAAGCTGGTCATGAAAAAGAAGGAATGATCACTTCATCAGATATTTTTGTTGACTTAGTGAAACCTCCTTCACTTATCTAGGAAGCACTGTTTCAACTACAGGCGGGACAGACGAGGACGTCAAAGTCAGAATCGGAAAAGCAAGACAGGCGTTCATTGGCCTGAAACCAGTGTGGAGATCTTCTGCACTCAGCACAAAGAACAAGGTACGGATATTCAACACCAACATCAGTCAAGTCAGTGCTTCTGTATGGTTCAGAGACTTGGCGCGTCACGAAAGGGATTTCCAATAAACTACAGACATTCATCAACAACTGCTTACGCTGGCTCGCTACTGAAGATCAGATGGCCAGAATAATGAGAATAAGCAACAAGGAGCTCTGGGAACGAACCAACCAACAACCTATCACGCAACAAATATGCAGGAAGAAGTGGAGATGGATTGGCCATGCACTGAGAAGGCCGACTGAGGACATCACGCGTCAGGCCAGGTACTCGAGTGGAATCCCCATGGGAAGCGACGAGTTGGACGTCCGAGGGTGACGTGGAGGAGGTCGTGCGAGGAGGAAATGAGAGGTTGTGGGCTGTCATGGAACCAGGTTCAAAAGATCTCAGAGAACAGGATGAAATGGCGACGTGCTACTGAAGCCCTATGTTCCACTAGGAACCCAAGGGACTAATAATAATAATAATAACAATAGTGAAACTATTAACCTTTAAGATACTTCAAAATAGTACAAAATTTACAGAGATATTTCATGTAAACTTGAAGCTCCTGGACGCTTTTTCACCACTGAATATCACCTTGATTTAATACATTATATACAGATCATTGAAGAAAGGTCACTGTAGGCATGAAAATAAGATTTCTTCACAATACTGCAGGAATAATACCGAATAAAATGTGTTAGAGTTAACGAACCTATATGAGTTAATGTAAAGATTTTTTAACTTGAAAAAACAACAATGATAATCCCTCTATTGTAAATAATTTTCGGTACAATTTGGAATTTTTAGCACCTGCTTTATTCATATCTCTTTCCTTGTATCTCCTAGGGAAAAATTCGAAAAAATTACATAAGACTTTACGCTCGTACAGACAAGTACAAGAATTTGACTGTACCATACCTAGCACATATATGATGTGAGGAAAAAAATGTTAGGACAGAAATGTTGTAACAAAAATGTATGTATACATAT